CAAATAATAATATAATGCACTCACTGAGACAATGATAATTAAGAAAACGAATAATTTGTGCTGTCATATTTTTATTTGCATTTCAATGCTATAATACACTATTATCTTCATATAACTTATTTTATAGAATCCATTATAATTGCATGACTTCTGATGAGACCACCAATTCTGTTTAACACTGACTCCTTTATATTCTTTCATCTGTAGCAATGATTCTGTTAAAAAAGGAACGCAAAAAATTAATCATTCAGATGATATCAGGATTCATCTTAAGGAAACCATGTACATGCTAACATAACGATAGATGTCTAAGAACATGATATCACCGTTTTACAGATGTTTGAAATAAAATTTCACGACAATAATTCTGTAAAATGAAGTACTTGAATTTATTTTTTTTCTGGTAGACGTAGAAGCAGAAAAGAATAGCTTAGGAAAAGAAAATTGATAAGCGATCAAAATGATTAAAATATATATAATCCTATTATAGGTTGCATAATCTATCTACCAAGTTAAAATCTGATCATCACTTCGTAAAATAATTTTCTAACATTTGTCATCAGTAGCGACATCTTTATAGTAAAATACTTCTCAAGAAGACTTGATTGGTTCACAAATTCACTCAAAGAAAAAAGGTTTCGTCCTATGTTAGACAGACGCATACTTTTTTTTGTTAAAAAATAGAAAAATCTGTCAAAAGTATATCATATTTTCTTCCTATATTAATTCTTCTTGTTAAGCATGACTAGTTCAACTGACCCATCACTTGGTCATGATGCTCGCACGTATTATAACAGTCCACAGCAGCAGGGTTTAGATCAACGTAATGAAAGTAAAATTTTATATATGCGTAACTTTAACAATTGGATCAAAAGTCTATCAATCAGTACGTAATACTTAATAGAATTTGGTTACTTCCTTAGCCACAATTTGTATTATAGATGAATATTTACAACGTCTTAGAAACGAACAACCTGATCGAAGTAATAAGATTCATGTATTTGATATGGGTTGTGGTAAAGGTAAATAATGTTCACTTAGCTTTATAATCAATGGAGTATAATTTTTGTTTTTTCTTTTTGAAATTCTTCTAGGAGGCGATCAACTTAAATGGCAAGTTGGTCGTGTTAATTTTGTTACTTTTGTTGGTCAGTTAAAAGAAAAATAAATTTCATTATTATTTATGTATATATAATTATTAATCTGTAGATCTTGCTGAAAATTCAGTTGAAATATGCAAACAACGTTATTATGAGAGACAGAAAAAATGCAATTATAATGCAGATTTCTTCCCACTTGATTGCACTAAAGTTTGTTTTCTTGATTGTCTTTCTTTTTCTATATTGATATACATATATTACATATTAGGAACTTATTCGAGATAAACTTAAAACTACTGAACCATGTTTTGATCTAGTCAGTACACAATTTGTTCTTCATTATGCATTCGATAAATTGAAATCAGCCGATCAATTTCTACGTAATGCTGCTGAATTTTTACGTGTAGGTGGCTATTTTATTGGTACTACTGTGAATTCATGCGAATTAGTGTATGTGTTAAGAAGTTCAAAAAATAATGTATAAACAAGTTTTTTTTATATTTCAGTGAACGTTGTCGTAATTCACCTAATCAGAAAATTTCAAACGATGTATTTAGTGTTGCATTCGATCCTTCTATTGATTTGAGTAAAACAAGCAACGAATCAATTCCATTATTTGGTGCTAAATATCATTTTAGTCTTGATGATGTTGTTGATTGTCCTGAATATCTAGTCTATTTTCCTTTACTGGAAGAGTATGTTCAAATTTTCTTTGTTTTTTTTTCAATCTTTTTTATTAATTAATTTTTATAGATTGGCAAAAAAACATGGTCTAAAAAAAGTTGAACGACAAATATTTAAAGACTATTTCAATAATAATAAGGATACTCGAGATGGTCGTTTCCTACTATCGAAAATGAATGCTTTAGAGGTAAAAAGTAATTTATACATGATAGAATTTGTTATTAAGAAGAAATAAATCATTTAGTATTATGAACTTCCTCCAAACAATCCAAATTATCAACGAGGACCAATAATTGATCATACTCGATATACACATGCCGCAAATTATATTAATGATATTAATACACAACATCAAGATTCTATAAGAAGTTGTGTAAGTTTCTTATTATAGGTTTTTTTGTTATGAAAACTTTCTTTATCCTATAGCGAACTTTATCCAAACAAGAATGGGATATGACAAGTATGATATTATTTTAATAATTGAATGTTTTATATACATATATATATATATATTGATTATATTTTAGGTCTCTATATTATGTTTGCTTTTCAAAAAATACATCAAGTCGAATATGATGATAAGAATACTACAGAACAATGATTATAATCTCTTTGAATTTTTGCTGTTATTCTTTCCTTGTTCATTTCACTCAGTTTAATTGTTGTTATTATTGTATTGTTGACACTTATTTTCCTGATGATGGTAATATAAAATAAAAATGAAATATGTAAATTAATTTAAACAGAATTATAATGAATTTATTTATTATTCAATACTTTCATAGTTAATATATTTTTTTTATATGCATAATTTGATCTTTCTAGTACGTAATAAAATCAATATGATCATCAACAAAACTCCAACTGACATCATCTATACATAAATAATACATTGATTTAAAAAATGTCCAGAAAAATATAAGTTCACATATTTAACAATAATAACGTATGGCCGAAATCTATTGCCTTGCGAACCTGCGAGACCGAGAACTTTCTCAAAAACAAATTCCAACTATTGTCATCTCCCTTAATAATTTAAATATAAATTTAGGATATTATACTGTCTTGTCGGTACCAAGATGATCGCTGCATTCCATATGTAACGAATTCCAAAAGGCTTTCAAGATTTTAGCAAGAGTACTACCATTACAATTTTGTAGTAGATCATCTAAATCAAGTAGAAAATCTTAGATAAAAACAGCAGATAACTGTTTAATACTAAGATATACAGGATGTCCCGAAAGTAAATTCGTATGTTTTTACTATTTGATTTGACTTTATCGACTACTTTTTTTTTTTACATAATACGTGGATACATCGAGTTTTTATTTATATGAACAAACTTCAAAAATACTGCTCAAAGGTATCACCTTTAATTGAAATACAAAAATTTAGCCTATTTTTTATTTCCAGAAGAACATTACACAACATTTCTTTTTTTTTTTAGTTGCTTCGAGTTATTGAATGATGTGGATCTTTAAATTTTCCAATTTCTGAACAGTCTTTTCATAGAATTTTATTTTGATATGTCTTCGCAAAGATGAATTGAATGGTATCAAGTCAAAACTCTGAGATACCTTTGAACAGTACTTTTGAACTTTGTTCATATAAATAAGAACTCGGTGTATTTATCTGCCATTTAAAAAAGAAATAGTTCAACAAGTCAAATCAAATTGTAAAGATATACGAATTTACTTTCGAGTTATTACTGTTGGGACAACCTGTATTATATTGACTAACCTACTTTTCAAAGGTAATCGAAAAGTACACAATGAGCCATAAATAGCACTACAAAAACAAAAAAATATCTCCACGTCGATTCAAACAAATCACCTTATTTTTTGATTAGCGGTAGAGATTTATTCAAAGTTTTTTTTTCATCGGAATAAGATCAGCAAATACTACTATTAAGTATCATTGTTAATATCATGAAAGCAATTTTATCAGTCATCATCAAAGAAAATATGAGGAAACCAAAGCGTACTATATTAATGCACATAAACCAAATTTTCAAACGTAAAACATTGATTTTTTTCAAGGAAATTGGTGCCCAATGGACTGCCATAACGCATTGTACTTGTGGGGGGGGGGGGGGGGGGCGAATTTTAGTATTTAAACTTACTATTAGTTTTGAAAACTTTGTATACATCAATATAGTTCGTTTTGATTTATTATTATTCGTTTCAATGACAACTGAAATTTATCTATGAAACGCTTCATATATATTTTTCTTACTTGACAATAGGTAAAATTCCTTTAGTAGTGAGACCCAAAATATAATTTGACAGTAGTGTTTATTTCTATTATTCGTATGCAAAAAAAAAATACTTTAAATTAGCTTCTACCGTCAACCAACAAAATCAGCTCATTCAAGCAAACCGAAGTGGAGATATTTCAATTTTTTATTGTAGTACTATTTATGACTCATCCTGTATGTAAAGTTAATATTCTTAGCTAAGGACAATTAATATTGTACATATTAATGTAATAGATTACATTTTAAAATTGTAGTTTATGTATGTGTGTATTTTAATAAAAATACATAAATATGATCGATGTGTATATAGAACAATGATATTCTAATGACAGGTGGCATGGATGAAAACTTTCCATATGAATTTTACTTTGTCGAAAATTTTTTATATGCAGCGATTACATTGTGTTTTATATTTTTGATATACTCAAATATAATAAAACATGTGAAAGAATGATTCAAAGAGTTATATTAATGTTCTCAAGAACAAAAAATTTTTATTGAAGAACATTTAGACAAAACAAGATAATAGTCTCGACAAATACTTCTATGAATAATTAACTATAATAAAAAGAAAAACAATTGTTATTTATTTTAGGTTTTTACTGTAGTCTTTGTATTAAATACAGCTTTATGATATACTGATGTATTTGTATAACTGTGTTTGGTTTTTTTAAATATTAGCTACTCTATTTTTATTGATAATATTCATAGTTTTCCTACAGCTGGTAAATTTCACTATAATTTCACTGTACATTTTTTTCTTATTTCTTCGTCAAAATTATTTTTTCTCGTCCATTCTACATACGTCCACATTCGACGAACAACTAAGTTAATTTTCTTCTTTGTTTAATGTATTCTTTATCTACTACTGATATTCGTCTACATTTATTCATAGTTAATCGTACTAGATATTAGATCATCTGTCTATTCAGTAGAATATATTTAGAAATTATTTACAAATGCCTTACAATGGTGAATTTTTATTTTTTTATTAATTTGTATTAAATATTTTATCTAATATGATTATTTTTATAGGTAAATCAAAAGCTATGTCACGTTCTCGAACTACAAAACGACAATATGAAAATGATGGTATTAATGATTTGAATTTATTGATTTGACGAATTTCATTTTGTTTAGATATAATCGATGATAATAATAAGGAAAATAATGATGAAAAGATGACATCTACCACGAAAAAAACTCAAGAACAACAAATTGTGTCAAATAAGAAACGAACAAAACAACAATCACCAGCACCAGCTTCAGTTAAACGTAAGTTTACATAAATAAAACAAACAGTCAATATCCTATTCTATACATTTTTCGTTTTATAGCAAAAGAAAATACATCTAAAAATAATCTTAAATCATCTCGGTCTCGTTCAGTTGCAGAATCATTACCAATTAATTCATTAAAAAATTCTAATACAACAATAATAAATAAAAAGAAGAAAACTACGAATACATCATCAATTGATAGTAAATCAAAAAGACAACAATCTCCATCACCATCAATCGAATCAACAAATAAAGTTAAAAATCGAGCAACAAAAGATGTACTTCGTATAACTACGACACCAATAACAGCTAAAAATATTCGTCATCGATCAATTTCATCATCTAGTTTAACGACAGATAAAAATAAAAAAAGTATTTTATCAACAAAAGTAAACACATCTAAATCTAGAACAATTAAACCGACTGATGGTTTGTTTTTTCTTTTTTTTTTTCTTCTTAAAATTAAAATCTCAAATTATTTTAGTTCAACAATCACGTTCAAAATCTTCAATGGCTCGTTCAACACGTCTTATGAATACTACACGTCGAACTATTCGTCGACAGACCACATATTTATCAGTACCATCTATTATAAATGGTAATATCAAAGGTGGTCAAGTATTAGCTGTTGGTGAAAATGGTATGACACAATTAGGTCTTAAAAGTTCTATTGATCAACGAAAAAATCCTCAACCTGTACTTATTCCTGAATCAATTGTACAAATTGCTGCTGGTCCTTTACATTCAGTTTGTTTAACAGATCAAAATAATATTTATACATTTGGATGTAATGATGAATATGCATTGGGTCGTCCAGATAATAATAATAATGATGATGATGATGATGATCATAATGATACTGATCCATTTGGAGAAGTTGATTTAAGTCAAGTAATGAATATAGATGAAGAAAATATTGTACAAATTGTTGCTGGTGATAGTCATACATTAGTTTTATCAAATATGGGTAAGGTTTATGGTAGGTTTTATCATTTTTTTTTGTGATTTATGACATGTACTATTTGATCTTGTTTTTCGATTGTTTCACGCTGGGGCACATTTCGTTCGAGTTCACATGGAATCTATGGTCTTGTTCACAAGGGTAAAATGGCAAAACGTCCAATTGAAATTCTTTTACCAGAAAAAATTGTTAAATTAGCAAGTGGATATGATTTTATATTGTTTCTTAGTGAAACTGGACAAATTTATTCATGTGGTAATGGAGAAACAGGTCAATTAGGTCGACTTAGTCGATATGCATCTGAAGATGGTCGACGTGGAGGAATTGGTAAAACTTGATTTTTATTCATATTTTTTTTTCTTTGTTTCTTTTTTTGTTTTATTTATGTCAAAGACATTGCTTTTTTGTTTTAGAACGATTAATCACACCTACGCCTATTCTTTATAATCGATCATCAATTAAAGAAAAAAATTTATTATTTGAAGATATTTTTACAGGTGCTCATCATTATTTTTTAAAAGTACAGGGTCACCCTTATATATTTGCCGGTGGATTAAATAATTTTCATCAAATTGGTGCGATTAATTTATTTCATTTTTAAAACAATTAATAAGTATTTTTTTTTGTATGTTAGGTTTATCATCAACAGAACCTGTCTTTTTTCCAGCACATATTCCATCGTTAGACGGCTACCAATGGAAAAAATTTGCCGGTGGTCTACATCATACACTTGGTCTTACTGTCAATGGTAAATTTTGAATATAGATCTTTATTTTTTTTAGTTCTTATATTCTTTCTTTAGGTGAAGTTTATGCAATGGGACGTTGTCATGAAGGCCAATTGGGTATTGATGGTCTAACTACTCATATTGATAGACCAATACTTATTCCAAATATTCCAAAAGCTGTTGATATAGCTTGTGGAAATCATGTTTCATTTATAATTGATGAAACAGGCAAAGTCTATTCATTTGGTGCTGGTACATCTCTTCAACATGGACATGGAGAAAGTGATATTAAAATTCCACGTATTATATCATCGAAATTCATGGATATTAAAAAAATAGCGAATATTGCTGTTGGTGCTCAACATACAATTTTTCTCACGAAAGAATAATATTTTTTTCTTTTTCATTTCCTTTCTTTTCTTTACAATAAACAAAAAAAAACAAAGAAATAATGAAAACGAATTTCATTTTTGTTTTTGCACATTGCCAATAAGTTGACGTTTGACTCTAAGAATACGCACATCGATGTGAATGAGACCGAGAAAAAAAAATATGTACAAAAAAAAAATTAACTTTTTTTTCTTTTCCGTTAAAGATGTCGTTTCATATGAAGGGTTAAATGATCGGAGCGAGCAAAAGCTCGATCACAAAATTTACACGCAAATGGTTTGACACCAGTATGTTTACTAAAACAAAAGAGAATAATAATAGTAATAATTATAGACAATGATATTTGTTTTTTTCTTATTTGTCTTAATAAAATTACATACCGATAATGTCGTGTCAATTCATCAGACCGTGCAAATTTCCAACCACAAGCAGGCCATTGACATGAATATGGTTTAATACCTGTATGTGTTCGTTCATGAGCACGTAAATGTGATGATTTATTATATATTTTTCCACATCCTGGATGACTACATGCATGAATAATACCACTTCTTCGTTGTACATCTTCTTGTATATTAGCATCTTGAAATGAAGAAGGAGTTTTTCGTTTTGTTTTTGGTTCATTTGATATATTTGTTGATGAACGTTTTCGACCTTTTGGTACAACTGATGGAGACCACATATCATTGATACCAGTTTGATTAAAACCATCAATTGGAGATGTTAAAGAATAATCAGGAATTGATGGTGGTGATGATGATAATTTAATATTATCAGTAGATAATCCAATAGGAACAAGTAATGATGATGATGGCGAATATGTATCTGATGACATAGTGGAAAATGTTTTATCATCATAGAATTGATGTCCAAAATCCATTGAATAATCTGATAAATATTGTGTAGGTTCTGTTTTAATAATTTCTGTATTATTATTATTATTATTATTATTATTATGAATTGGATTTGGACAAGATAATATTGTATTTGTTGTTTGATTATTGTCTCGACAATAGCATGTTGATAGACGTTGTTGTTGTTGCATAAAATTTTCATATGTCGTTGTTGAAGATAATTCATCACTCATTAATTCATTATCTAATGGAAGACGTTTTCGACAAAGAAATAAAGCTGTAGGCGAATGAATTAATGGACTTGTACGAAGTTTTGAACCTGGATGTTGATATGAAACTTCACTTGCTGCTGTTGTTGTTGTAATTGAATATGAAGGATGATGATGATGCTGATAATAATGATGATGCATTTGTAATGGTACAAGATGAGCAGGTGGACTTAAATCAGATGAACAAGTCGATGATGATGATGATGATAAAGATACAGCTGATGGTGTTTTGCTTAATTCATCAGTTATATTTTGATAACTATTTATATCAAATTGACTTATATGATCGACAACACCAAGTTTTTTAAGACGAGCTGCTTGTTCATAAACATTAGGTGTTTCAAGTATAAGTGATGGATCAGCACGAAGATGAGCTGTTTCACGCAATAATCGTTCCAATTCAGGTGAATACTAATATTTAAAAAAAATCGATTGTTATTATTCATATTGTGTACATTAGAATTTTATATTTAACATTAATGAAAAGATAATAATAATAGAGTTCTCAAAATATTTTTCTTTTGATTTAAGTATTTTACTTACTCCATTAGGTGTTTTTGGACTAGTTGGAAAGCCTAAACCGTAATCTTCGCCACTTTCAGTCATGATGCGCTTTAAATGAATAAATCTTTTCATGGTTACAACACTATCTTCTTTTTTTTCTCTTCTTCTTTTTTTCTTCTTGTTTGCTCAATAACTGGTTGGTTCAATAATAATATATTTAACCAATCGTTAGATTGTCCGGCGTTATGTGAGTGTATGTGTGTAGCTCTATATGTCGATTTCCGATAGTAAACACACACTCTTAAATGAATTTTGTCTAAACAAGTACAAGGAAACAGTAAGTACCATCGAATAAAAATAACACAGTATGTTAAACTATACCTGTATATCTTTTTTTTGTAATAAAAAGAGGCTAAAATGAGGTTTCTAGTAGGACGTTACAATATCAAATATTACTTCAACGTGATACTACTATCTATGAGTGCTCGTCACGCATTATTTGCATATCTACAATAAAATTGCTAATATACATCAATACGCTTACATATTTTTTTTGCTTGTCATGCATTTCGTCACCCGAAAATCGATTGTCGTTTGAGTAAAAGCAACATAGATTCTTTCTGTTCTGTGCAGAAAGATACATTCATACACATACTCAAAAGAATGTTTTTTTTTACTTTTTTTTTCATTTGTTTTTTTCTTGTTCACCTTTTTTTGTGCTTCACCATGTGCAAGCTACGGCAAGGCTATGATGATAGTTGACTTGATCCAAAATGTGATTCGTAAATCTACTACTATTTACTTGACATTAATAATGTATATTTTTTTTTCTTTCGTAGACATTTTCTTTCAAAAAAAGAAAAGCAATTCAATATTTAATTGATCTCGAAATGAGTTGGAGATTCTTTCTTGTTTTTTTTTATTTCTATATGGTAGTTTGTGTAAATAATTTTGAAGAATTCTTTTAAACATGAAAAGCATCTCCACAATTATTGTTTTCGTTTTCTAATACGAAATTTCTTGTGTTTCTTTTTGCTTTAAAAAATTTTACTTCTGTTTTTTTTCAAACCTTAGTCACATCAAATTGTGGTAAAAATGTTTTTTTTTCTTCTTTTTAATTATTGATGTATGGTAAAATGAATAAAAAACAAATATTCTATCAAAGGGCACGTTCGAAAGTTTAAAGGTGAATTAAAACAATGGGATAGATAGATATCGAATAAGAAAAAAAAAGAAAGCAACATTTAAGCCTTGTTAGTATTTCTTCAGCTCGTTGGTTATCTAATGAGAGTGAAGATCAACATCCTGAGTATACATTGATGGCACACCCAACGATTAACTCATCATGCTCGTTGTTCTATTTAGCTCGTTGACCACGTGTCAATAGAATTGATACATTAAACGGAAAGAAGCATGTACATACGTACAATACATCATCAAATTAAATAAGCAAGATATCTTTTTTTTTTTTGTATGTATTTCGTATGTATGTATGAAATGAAAACGATAAATAAACATATCATTTAATCATGTTCAATGTTAGATTTTTTCTTTCTTTCGTCTGTATTTTCATAAGAAACAAAAAAGAAAGAAAAGATTTTTTTTATTTATCACTTGTTGTCGGCACAGGAAATAACGAATATTTAGATAATTGAAAGAAAATTATATTACAGATTGTTGTCGCGCGCATATTCAAAAGTTGATAAAAGAACGTCTGTGCATATTGACGTAAAGATGAACTGACCAAATACTAATAAAAAAAAAATTTATTTTTTTTCTTCTTAATTCAATTCGGTACACTTGTACACATGCCGCTATGTATATTTATTTACTATCGGAAATCGATCATCAGTAACAGTCAACACAATCAGCAACCCATCTATGCAGTCAAATGCATGACTATTCGATGAGTCAGTAAAAAAGAAAAAAAAAGAAAGAAAAAAAATAGAAAGTTCAATCAACCGTAAAAAACCACGCCTATGCGTTGGTTCATATCAGTTTCGAAATCAAATAGAAAAAAGTTTAAAAGAACGATGGGAGTTGTTCGACAGATTGTAGAAAAATTATGTGTTATAATAACGATCATTCTTGTTTACGAGAATGCACTTGTTTTTTATCAATATTTCTTTCCATATTGGTGGTCTCATGGATTTTATCGACGATTTTTCTTTCATTTAATTATTGGACATTGGTTATTAATTAATACAATAATGCATTATTATTTTGCAATTGCAAAATCACCGGGTTTTGTTGTTGAATTAAAAAAAGAATTATCAACTCAAGAAGAATTAAGTTATACAAAGTGTTTGAAATGTGATGTAATGAGACCACCGAGAGCACATCATTGTAAAGTTTGCCAAAAATGTGTCGTTCGTTATGATCATCATTGTAAGTGTATTTGAGCAAACAAATTTTCTTTTAAATAAGTAAAAATACTAAAGATATTAAAAATTGATCATCACAAAAGTTGATATTATTTGTAAGACAACCGAATATAGAGATATGATGCTCAAATAGATGTCAGAAAATATTTATTATGTTTTATTGTTAAAGAACAACATACTCATACTGAGTACTATTTTATAAAAATGTAATTTTTCTTGCATGATGAACATGTTATATTTTACTTTCTATCAACAATAAAATACTTGTGAATCGCATTTTTTGATATAAAATATAAATTTTATAATTAGAACAAACTTATTTAGATATATAATTAGCACGAGATTAAACGCTTATAATACTACAAAGATATAGGGTATCCCAAAATGATAAGACGCCCCCGCTCTCCTCCTCTAATACATTCATACAGTAATATTTATTTCATTAGGAAAAGTTTATATTATTAAACTATTGATAACCTATTTATGCGAGCATGGTTGTCTGCTAACTATTGCTATTGTCGATTGCCTTTGTCTGTTCCTCTATAGATGAAATAAATATTATTGTATGAATGTATGGCGGTGTGGGATCCTATAATTTTTGGATACCCTATACTAAGTGTCGATATACCATCTGAATTGTTTTAATACATTCTTGAATAATATTTGTTAATAGAATCATTGTATACTTCGTCGGTCGCATTTCCCAGTTCACGTTGTCACTGTTGAATTTTTTTTTTTTACAAATTTTGTGTTTGATCAGTTTTTATACTAACTCAGTGATGTTAAAATAAAGATTGTAATCTGATCATGAATATAATTTAATATGATATGCTTAACTCGAGATTACAGTCGAGAGAGAGCATGAAATGATCTATCAACAAATGTTTTATTCAAGAATGTATGTTAAAAGAATTCTGATAGTGTATCAACATTTTGTATATTTCTATTCAACTTTTATTTGTATTTTAAGCATCTAGTCTTGTACTATTCCTCTATGTCTATATGAAGTTGTCCTAACCGTAAACTCTATACTTTATATCAAAAATACTATTCACAAACTTTTTGTCGTTGGTAGTTTAATTGAATCAAACCACTGAATAGTATTCATTAAATATACCGAAACTAAGAAACTTCATGATTTAATTGCAGAACTGGCCCGAAACAGCGAACATTAAGCGGTGAGGGGGAGGGATTGCGGTTTTTTGTGGGAGAATATCACACGCCCCAACATCCTATAGGTCGGGTTGTCCCTGCTTAACTCTTTTTTTTATTATTCAAAATCGAATACATATTTTTTTATGGATTATCTTTTTTTTTTTTTTTTGTTGATAGTCTCCAAATGTAATTTTTTTATTTAGGTCCTTGGATTAACAATTGTGTTGGATATCGAAATCATGTACATTTTATCTTATTTTGTTTTTTTATGGCATTGATCTCAGCTTATGCTACTATTGTCGGACAAAAACAATTCCAACTAGTAATGTTCCATGATCAAATACTTTTCGGTTTATTTGCTCCTATTCTACAACCAGAGGAGTTAGTTACGACTATAATAGAGCACAAAACTATAGGTCCTATCACTGGTGTATTGACACTTTTTCTTTTTCTTACCAATCTTGTTGCAATGGGTCTTGTATTAATGTTAACTATATGGCAGATAAGTCTTATTACTAAAGGTCAAACATGTGTAGAAGAAAGAATTGATAAATCCATTGTAGCTAATTCTGTACAAGGACAAAAACAACGACCATATGATTTTGGATTCAAATTGAATTGGGCAAGATTTTTTGAAGTAAATAAAATTAGTGAACTTTTATTTCGATTGCTGATTCCTTTTCCATTTCAACCAAAACATGATGGTACACAATGGATATCAAAAGATAATAAAAAAAATTAAGTTTTCTGCTATGATTATGTTTATTTCTAGTTTAGTTATTCATAAAATAAAATAAAATAGATTAATACAAAGGATAATATGAAAAAATAAACAAAAAATAAAAAGATCAAATAGAATCTATTTGGATGAGTATATAATACATGAGACCAGATTATTGCTTTATTCGAAGATGTGTTTACAATCGAAACCAAAGTTGTATTTATAGCTTTAGTACTACTACAAAAAAAAATAGAAACAAAATATAAACATAGAATGCTTACTTGATTGCCTCGGGCGATGTATAATTATATTCTCGTGTTTGAATATAGAAAGAAATTTTATTATAATTTTCGAGAACTTTTCCGATGTTGTTTGTTGAAGTAATGACAAATGTCATAGATCCACTTATTACATTGCAAATATCACTAGTCTTGTTGTCTTCTAACCACGTACTTATATCGATATGCAAAATATCATGAATGAAACTCATGTTAGAAACAGTATATTTGCGATAGGTTCCATTAATGTCAAATAATTATAATGTATCAAGTACACACATTCGAATTAATAGAATTTCGTGAGCTCGATTATACATTGTGAATGTAATAGAACTTATTGAATTGTTTGTCAATGTGTATGGTTGATTAGTAATTGAAATCGAAATTGAAGTTGGTGAAATGAGAACATTACTTTGCTGTTCTATTATTGAATTGTCTGTTAATTTTATTTTAATCAACATACGAAAAGCAGTATCGTGTATTATCACAGATAAAATGATTGATCCAGCAGTTTTAGTGATATTCGATGCCTGCAAAACGAATATATTTTTCACCGTGTTTATTAACTAATTCAATAGTAGCCGATTGAATAGAAGATCGAAGATTGTTGTATGATATTACTAATACAAGATCTGATTGATTGATAGTAGATGCAATAAGTAAGGGTCTATAAGCATTATTTGACTCGCGTTTAATTCGTTGACTTAATGTTGTATGACATATTGCTACAGTTGATGTATTCGAAATTTCTGAAATATTTATTTCGACACTGTGAGAGTATGATTGAGTACTTAAAAGATATCATAAATCAGAACGTGGATTTTCGATTATATATAATTGAAAATAAGTCCCAGCAGCAACTAATACTGGAGTAATTAGTACACCATTGAGATCAATTAAATGAAATGAATTGAAAGTTGATGTGAAGAGAGCTCTGCTTGATGTTAAATCGATCTATATACGAGTGGTATTGATATCGACAACAAATGTTCTGTTGATCGAGCCAGATCCAGTAATGGCAAGTAATAAGTCTTGTGGAAATAAATGAGAATACATCCTATTCTGCGATGTTGCACATTGCGGAATCAATTCAATCCGATTCCGGAATTCCGGGATCATCGAACTAACTCGGCTTATTTGAAAACGATCAAATTCCCTCAATTTCCGGAATTGCCAGAATTCCATCCGATTCCGGAACTCCGTCTCATCCTCAACCTCGGCTTGTCTTGTGTGGTTAAAGATAAATACCTGAAATAAGTGAGGAAGTCTCGAACGGAATTCCGAGAATTAAATAGAATCAGAATTAGACGAAATCGGACGAAATCAGATGGAATTCCGTCTTTTCCACATCCTCAGCTTGCCCTGTGTATTTAAAGAGAAATATCTGAAATAAGTGAGCGATTCCCGGAATTCCGTTCGGAAATTGCTCACTTATTTTAGATATTTATCCTTAACTACACAAGGCAAGCTGAGGGTGAGGGTGAGGACGAATTCTAGAATTGAACGGAATTCGAGAATCGGATGGAATTACTTGGAATTGGTAGGAACTCTCTCTGATTCCGTCTAATTTCGCTTCGATCTAATTGCCGGAATTCCGTTCGGGAATCGCTCGCTTATTTCTGATATTCATCTTTAAATACACAGAGCAAGTTCAGGGTGTGGATAAGACGGAATTCCGGAATTGAATGGAATTGGGGAATCGAACGAAATTCTGGAAATTAAAGAAACTCGATCGTTGTCGAATAGGTCGAGTTAGTTCGATGATTCCGGGGTTGGAATTGATTCCGCAATGTGCAAAATCGCGGAATAGAATGACTGCTCGCTAGATCATCATCTATTAAGCCATCTAATATTTCATCGGTATCTCTTCGTTGACGATGCTTTCAAGATGTGGATGTACGACGAACATAGAACAAGAAAATTCAGAATTTAAGTTCAGTAGCACGTGCGAATACTTGCGTCCCGAGATAAGTATCTTTAGCTGGTACATCAGTAACATGTAAATAATCGAATTCATTTCACAGACTTGAAGAGCTTCATTAAAATCATGATAATACAATTCAGGTTCATCATCACCACCATCGACAGTCAAATTATTAATTTTATCTATAAAGAATTGAACGTCAGTTGTTATTGTTAGTGAACCCCATTCAGGATCATTAAATGGTGATAAAATATAATTTGCAGATCAAAATAATGAATTATCTTCTTGTGTAAATTCTATAATACCAATAGCTACTTTTTAAACGAGTTCGATAACAGACGACATACTGCCTGTGGTATCAATTACAATAACAAAACTAGTTGAATGAAAATCTAAGAATCGACCAAAAGTATCATTGCCTACACTTGACTACAATGATTTCAATTGTTAAATTGTAGCAATAATAACAATTTTAGTTGCAAGAGTATGAAATGATCCATGGTCAGAATTTCCATTATCTTTATTAATACCAAAATCTATAGCATCTGTTTGAGTTATCATATCAAGTAGACCACCATGACTACATTTACCTTTCGGTTTGGAACAACTTCCAGAGTACATATCGAAATATCTACTTGTCAAATATATATATCACTATAAATCTCAGATAACATATTTCTTTCAGCATAACTTTGTGCTGTACGATTGTTACAAGTATCAAGGTTCTGCGGTGCATATAAGCTCAATATCATGCCAGTACCAATTACTTGATTTGGTACTTGTCGTCCTAATTCTATCCAATTCAAATGAGCATAAAAATCTTGTACTGTATATATAGCTTGACAAAATGACTAACGAGCATCAATAACTGATAATGAATCAGATATTGATTTTGTTTGGATATCAACAAGACAATTAGCAATAAGTATTCATCTTTCAGCAAAATGCTTCATTGTCAAAATGAGATGACGATGGAGTAAATTCTTTCGAATTAACAAGTATATTAGATGTACACACAAGATCAATAACAGAACGAAGTACCGGACTAATACCTAATCGACGACTTTCTTGTTGAATTTGATTAAATATTGTTTCAACGTCATCACATAGTTCGGTACTATTAGTTAAATTATCGAGACGAATAGAACCATAAATTGATTTGAGATTATTTGCTGCTATTCTTAATAGAGCACATTCAGTCAAACCAAAATGTGTTGTTTTTTCACGTCCCGAGAGACCTGAATTGAATCCTGAGAAATCTCAATGTACTATATGGATCATCATGTGTTGGTTGATATCAAAATTTATCAGCATGTTGTTATCCTTGTATATAAAAAAAATACATACAATGATTACCATTAAGTGTTAAACGTTGACATTATTGACGCCAGGTGTCTGTTAATATTTTATCTTTTGTTGTATCTAATATTTTTGATAATCAAATACTAATTTCAAGACCTGAACCACGATTAATGACGTCAATAGCAATCGTACTCAATAAAATAAGACTTTTATCTGAACAATGGAAAGAAAAAATGTTTCATAGTAATGATCATTCAATGATATCATAATTAGATATCAACCAAGATTTTGAAATATTTTACGTTTATCTAAACGAACAGTAAAAGTAGTATTAGTTTTGTTACCATTGCTATTTTGCTTTGTAATTGATGATGATTCAGTTCGAGGAGCTAAACGAAAACGAAGAAGTTCTTCAATATTAAATTTTTCTAATTCTACAATAGTATTTTTAACTTCTGATATAGACTGACTAAGACCATTGCGAACACCTAAATGACGTTGTATAATTTTCAATTGTTAATACTGCTGAATTATTTGTATAAACAAAAATTAAGATTATGTTTTTCTTTTAACACTAAATATAACATTCACTCTAAAAGCCATGTGATAATTAAAATGTGATTAGTACAAATACAATTTGATTAATTTTAATTAAAAACTCTTTTTCTTTTCATACTTATTACGTTTTTCTCATTGTTTTTTTTTCTCGTAATTCCAAACTATTTTCAATTTCTTTGATGATTGCTTTTTTCGTATTGTTGAATTTTAGCAATTAAATTATTAACAGTATCATGTATAGGTTGAAGAGTTTGTTGAGAAGCACGTAAAACATTATTATCAATTTCATCATGTGTTGTTATTGAATCAATTTAACATTATTTCAATTGTTGTATAAGATATTCATTTGTTATATAACTACTGTCCGATGTTTAATACTACACTTTCCACAGACGATATCATTACAATGATTGAGACAAACAAAATATACCATGGAATCACTTTGTGAATATATTGTAGATAAAGAATAATAATGACTAAACATATTAGTAGTTGTAGTATTCATTGTCGAAATAAAAGTTGCATGAAAAGTTATTATTATTATTATTATGCACATAGTTTCTCTTCTTTCATTCTTTGCCTGTTAATCGATGACTTGTTTTTTAATTTAATACTGTTTGATTTATAATTCTTCTTCTTAATCTCTAAGACAATTGCAAAGAAAGTGTATAAAATAAATAGTTATCGACAAAAAATATTAGCAATTTTTTTTTATGTTGAATTAATAATATTCAATTTAGACATATTTTCATCTTTTAGAAAGAATAAGTTACATGGCTTTATTTGAATGATAAAAAGAAAAGATCAGAGAACAAATGTCAATTTTTCTTTTAATGAAAAAATGCAAATTCAAATATAGATCGTGTTTGTTCTGCTTTTTCATCTGTATCAGTAATGGTTTTTTTTCGTGGTGGCATTTTTTTGTCTGTTGATCCCGTTGAATCCAATGTGGATGATCTTGGTCGTCCATGTTTTTTTGCAGGAAAACTAACGGGAGGTGATCGAGTAGTTTTATCATGATGTGTTATTGATGATGATCGTTGGCGTGAACGTGAATCGTCATGATTTGCACCAGTTTTTGTTATATGTAAAGTTTTTTGCATCCACTGTAATACCGAATTACTACGCTTTCTTGGAGGTTCCTGAAGTAAATAAATAGACTAAAACATACAATATGATTATGATTTTAAGTACTATCTTACGGATGTAGACGATGATGATGGTTGTGACACATCATTTTCATCTATTTTATTCAATGTATGAGACATTTGTTCATTAGTTAATCGATTTGATGGATCAGGAATATGATAGGCAGCCATGTTGTTTTGTGATTCACGTTTCAGGATCAACTATGATGCAAAAGTAATTTATTAAACAAAATAAGAAAAGTTGACAATATTATCTTTATATATACTTAGATAAAAACATGAGATATTGATAAGCATGTGACAAAGCGTTATATCTACCTACGTTTAATATTACGAAAAGGCAACCTTTTTTTT